GTGCGTATCGTTCACATTGATGGCGTAGCGATGCATTATAAGAAGCAGTACTCGCGGAGCAGCACGCCTGTCGGGGCCGGTTCTCGGAGCGACTCTGCTAGGAAAAAATCGGGACTCTTGCCCAAGCCGACAGGAGCCGCTGCATGTGCGATGTAGCACAACACGTTGGTCAACTCGACAACTACCTTCGGCTCGTGACAGACCAGTAGGTTTCGGCTGAATTCGGCACTCAATCACGGTGTTGGTCTTGCGGCATATCCTCAACTCCAGTCATCAACGCCACAGACGCCGGCGGTCTTTGCTGGATGAAAAGGGATCCAAAATCAGACCACTTTGGTCAAAATTGTGGGTCCAACTTACGCTTATAGGCAATCTTCGCTGTACCCTGGATCGTGATTCAGCCTTTCCCCCACTTCCTCCTTCTCCCGACGCTCCTTAGAAATACCCAGCCCTGTCGCATCCTCCGGCCGGCGTTCCAGTCATTCCTTCAAATCTTTTCTCTCCAACCCTCTCCTGCATTTCAGCGCCTGTCGAGCTGCCTCTCTCAGCAAACATGGTTCTCGGTCCAACCTTTCGCCGATGGCTCCCTTATCTTAACTTCACTGTCGCGATTTCTGCGCTCGGCTTTCAGACCGGCGTACTCTACCCATGGCACGAGGAGCTTGACCGAGAGTTCAAAAAGCTTCGAGACGAAAACAAAGAACAGCTCCAGGTTTTCCACGAAGCTAAGCTGAGAAGACTGGAAGAACTGGAGAGCCGCTTCGCGAACGAGAAGACCCATAAGGCATGAGCCTCCTTCTTCGGTCAATTTCAAAGATTCTCCCCGGCTGACTTGAGCAGCTTTCGTGGTGGCCATGGCACCACAAGTCCACAACGCAGTCGTAAAGTTGATCAGACGACTCAACTTCACATTTCTCAATTTGTCTGAGCACCCAGCGAGTCGTAGTCGAATCTCTTCATAACGGTGCAAAAGGGCTGCATAGATGTAAAGCAACAAACCTCCGCTTGTTGCTTACCTGCTAATGTGGACACAGTTCCTTTCAAATTCCGGCGCATAGAATGAGGACTGGAGTTTTGATTGTACGACAGCCAGCCTGGTGCTTCTCGATACCCTAGAGCTCGCAAACTGCGCTGGCGCCTTGCATTTCTAATATATTGAATTTTTTTTTCCAAGCTACAAGAAGCGACAAGAGTTGATGTAACGAGGCTGAGTTTCCACTAGCGCAAGGCGCAAAGGGCTAGGTACATTGCCGCCCGCCCTACACCAACGCCCTGACCACTTTCGAACAAATCGGAGCCTTCTCCTGGCGGCTTCGTTTCTCTGGGCCGACTGGTTTAATGCTCCTCTGATTATTATTCTCAAAAATGAAAACGGCTGCGCAAATTCCCATACAGCTTCCACCTTGAGCGATGGATAGTCCATTCCGCGGCATGTCAAAAAGCATGACAATGGAAAAAGAGTTGCAATCCGAATTCGAACGATTTGCAACGAGCGACCAAATCTCGACGACCGCAGAACAAAATAGCATTGCCGTCATGTCCAATCATCAATGATGTTGATCACGGATGATTCGCAATCAGAACTAGGTTGTGGCGGCTGTATCAAATTGCCGAGCACGCAGCCGTCTCGACTTGCAGTCGGTCCTGACGTTGTGAACCCCGAACTGATTCTGAAACATTTGCAGATACTCGTTGATACGATGGCTTCTAAGGCTGAGCCTTTGCCCTCCACATTCACTGATTTCAGGGCTTCCTCATCAAAGCGGAAGAGAATACGCGACAATGAAGCGGGCAGGCTAGCTCACCGCCTCAAGGCATCCGTGGGCCAAGCGAAGTCGACTCTTTTGCGCCTATTAGCGTCCCAGTCAGTTGATCGGCGCGTCGTGCAACCAGCTGACTTGAGTTTCGCCGTGGAGAGGCGCGCGGCCCATGTCGTTCACTCATCATCTTCGTTCGCGGAGAGATTAGTGAGCCGCGACCCGCAGACTGCAACCCGGTCGCCCGCTTACCGCCCAAAATGCTTAACTACCCGTCGAGCCAAAGTTCATTAAGCAATGCAGGGGGCCCTGAGTGATCAGAACCCGCCAGCCACATGTCGCATAAGCGGACAAGAGAAACAAAATTAAGCATACCGGTAGGCTTGACCGCAGCAACACCAAACTTGAAGGAACGAACACGAGTCCTCTCTGATTCGACGTCACTCAATCCAGTTGACAAGAATGCTGGATGCGGCAGCCTCGTGCGTGGTGGCGCTCGCTCAACACAGGCACCCCCACATCAAGTTTGTCCTGTGATAGGACGCACGGCTGAAAGCTACAACAACATGGCGCGCACCACCTGACAACTTGGAAACCTGGTTTCTTTTTTCTGTGGAGCTCGCTCTCCTGCCATTCGAATTAATCTCGACATCCCTCGAGTCAGCCGTCCGCCCTCAGGCTGGTGTCCGCTTCCTGGTGCAAGACAGACCGCTATGACGGCAGCTAACTGGGACCCTTGTTGATCATCTTGACATCGATCTGCCTGTTTGGCAAGCGGAAATGGCATTTCTCCTGCTAGTTCCAGCTAGCTCATGCATACGACTGCATCACGACCACCCGTCCCGAGATATTGATTGGTGACAGTACTGCACTACGTGGTAGCTCCTGCTGCCCAAAACAAGATGCAAAGTCGCTCTTAAAACCGATGCCGAACCAAACGCCCAACTTCTTGTTTATGGTTTCATGCCTCCAGCGCCCTGAGTGCGTCTAGTCAGGATGAAGCATTTTTATGCTCTTGGCCTACTTTTGTCCTACGTCGCTGCTTCATCCCCTGGCTTGGGTGCGAACAGCGGCGCATTCAAGCTCTTTCAGCGCGCCGAAAGATACAACAAGCCGATACCCCTCGAAGATGTGCAGTCACCTGCACAGGTGAATCGTCTTCAAAAGCGGCAGTCTCGATTTCGAACAACTGCTTCAGAGAGTATGTCTGCTGTTCGCTTCGGATTTCGACGACACTGACGACCCCTTCCACAGAGTTTGTGGTAGATGGAACTGCGATCCCGGAAGTACCCTTTGACATTGGAGAGTCATATGCGGGACTGCTTCCCATATCCGATGATCCAAATGAAACCCGGAAGCTTTTCTTCTGGTAATTTACCGATTTCGACGAACTTGAAGTCCTCTGACGAGACCCGCAGGTTCTTCCCCTCGACAAATCCTGACGCTGGAACAGACGTTACTGCCTGGTTCAACGGAGGCCCCGGATGCAGTTCACTCCTTGGTCTGTTAAGAGAGAATGGTCCGTTCACATGGCAAGATGGAACATTTGTGCCAACGCAGAATCCTTACAGTTGGGTGAATTTAACGAATATGGTTTGGATTGAGTGAGTTGGAAAATTCCCGTTCATTTTGCTTCTTGGCACATGCTGACAGCGAGTCCAGGCAGCCAATTGGCGTTGGCTACACGCAAGGCAAACCGAACATTACAGACGAGCTCGGAGTTGGCGATCAGTTGGCGGGGTTCTGGAGAAACTTTGTCGACACCTTCGACTTGAGGGGCTTCAAGATCTACCTGACTGGAGAGTCATACGCCGGTTTTTATGTACCCTATATTGGTACGCGTTTCCCAGAAGAAACTCATCTAGTATCGCTAACACGGACTAGCGGACGACTTCATCAGTCGAAATGACAAGGACTACTACAACTTGGCCGGAGTAGCCATCAACGACCCCATTATTGGAAGCAGCTTTGTTCAACAGGCTGGTAAGTATTGGAACCGCCTTTCAATTGCTCATGGCTGCTTTCTTTTCGCAAAAAATCGTCCGTTTTTGAAGCTGACTGCTACCAGTCCCTGCAGTTCCATTTGTAAATTACTGGAAAGAGCTTTTCTATCTTAACGGCTCGACCATGGAAAAGATCAACGCGGACGCAGACCGATGTGGCTTCACCGATTTGTTCAACAAGTTCCTAACATTTCCTCCACCGGATGAAGACTTTCCCGATATTTTCGACCCTGCTGAGCAGATGAACAATTCCTGTGACATATTCAGTGCCATCATCGAAGCCGCCAATGAAGTAAACCCTTGCTTTGACATATACCACATCACTACAACTTGTCCTAGTAAGTTGTACCAGGGTAACGACTTTCCGGGAGTGGGTATCATTGACCGCTTGCAACACAGCCCCCTACTCGATTCTAGGCAAAGTCAACAGAGATGACTACCAGCCACCAGGGCTCCAGATCTACTTCAACCGCACCGACGTGCAGCGTGCAATCAACGCGCCAGTAGGCACCAACTGGACGCAATGCTCGCAAAGGCCCGTCTTCGCCGGCAACGGCAGCGACTTGTCGCAAAGCCCCGCGCAAGACGGCACGCTCCGACGCGTCATCGAAGCTACCAACAACACCATCATCGGCAGCGGCAACCTCGACTTTATCCTCCCGACCAACGGCACCCTCCTCGCCATCCAAAACACGACGTGGAACGGCAGGCGCGGCCTCCAAGAATATCCCGGACGCGTCTTCTACTCGCCGTACCATGCAGAGTACAACAAGGGCTGGCTCGCGGGCAGCGGCGAGGTGGGGTTCTGGGGCCAAGAGAGGGGCTTGACTTTCTACCAGGTCCAATTGGCTGGACATGAGCTTCCTGGCTATGCGGGCGGTGCTGCTTACCGCGTCATTGAGTATATGCTGGGCCGGGTCAGGGCTCTGGACGAGCAGGTCAACTTCTCGACGCAGCCAAATGCGAACTTTACGGGGCAAAGGGGGCCGGGGAAGAGGAATGAGCTGTGATTTGAGAGGTGATTGCGGCGCGGGAGAGGCGGTCTGTTCTCAGGGTTTTGGTGAGTGTAATCATTTGAGGGTCGTTGTAAGGTTTGAGAGCCAACTCGGGAGATTTTCTGGACCTACCGTAACTGGAGATCAGATCCAAGAGCTTTAATGGCATGGCATGACGTAATTAGGTTTTCAAGTGCAATAAATGTTTGGTGCAGCCAGCGTGACTTTCAACAAATCATGTGACAGACTCCGTGGCGCAATCGGTTAGCGCGTCTGACTGTTATCAGGTCTGAGAAGCGATCAGGAGGTTGGCAGTTCAAGCCTGCCCGGGGTCGAGTTGTTTTGCTTTTGTTGCGCGCCAGGTTTGGGTCGAATTGATCGTAGTTGTGGAGAAGGAGCATCAAAATCCACGACCCAAAAATTTGCGCGGCTATGGTACGAGTTTCTCCGTACAGCGACCGAGCAGACTTCCCTACCTTGGTAAGAACGATCTCGTAGAACGACGTCACCATCTCAATGTTGCACCATCAGTCCACGTGAGGATGGAACTGCTGCGCTTGACTGCGCCTTGAAAAAACAATAGCTGCGCTGTGAAGCAAAGCTTTGCTGTCTTCCCAACCACCCAATCAAAACACCACAAGAGCAAGCCGAGCCGCTCCAAGGCATCACTTACGTACTATGCTTCGCCTTGGACCGTCCGCCTCATCGGAAAACATTGCCGTTTTTGAGGCTGGTGGTTTGGTTCCCAGCCCATCTCCCAGCCACTAAGACCGACGTTCTGCAGTCCGAGGCCAAGTCATCTGGATCAGGATTCGACGCTTGACGGCAAACAAGGTTGGATCTTGACTAATTCTCTACAATGGCCTTAGACGAGGGTACTTACTTCTTTGGCGCGGTCTTTGGAAAAAAGTTTCCCGTCCCTTTCGGACTTGGGAAACTTCAGCTTACAGGCAGGCCAAGCGGCACAGCTTGAAGTGCTTGAAGAGCCGTCTCGTTCTTCAGGTCATCGACCAAGGAATACTAATCGTAATACGTATAGTAACACACTAGGTTAAACATGCGGAGAACAGAACCATTCAAGGGCAACAACCACCAGCCTACCACAACTCACAAGCCGGCCTCGTGTCCTTGCAGCCAAACGCCTCCTTGAACCCCCTCGAATTCTCCACCACCCCCAAGACGCGCTGCTCGTTCGGCGTATGGACGTCGCTCAAGACCTGTTGAACCAGAGCCCGCTGCCTTGCCTTTTGTGCCCAAACATTGGCAAAGCTGATGAAGAATAATTTTTCTGGCGTCAAGTTCGCGTCGGCCGGCAGGTCCGGCAGCATCTGGTTGCGCTTCTGCTGATTCCTGCGTTGCCATGCCTCATAGCTCGACGAGAGGCCGCCCGTGTCAGCAATGTTCTCGCCCAGCGTCAGCTCACCATTAATGGGTAGCGGCTTGTTGTCGAGACCCGGAATGCTGTACTTGGCGTACTGCTGAACGAAGCATTTGGTGCGCTCCATGAAGTTGTCCCTCGTCTGTTTGTCCCACCATGTGGCGAAGTTGCCGCGCTCATCGAACTTGGAGCCTTGGTCGTCGAAGCCGTGGGTTATCTCGTGGCCGGCGATCATGCCGAAGCCACCGTACGAAACGTACTCGGGGAGCTGACGGTTGAAGAAGGGTGTCTGCATGATGCCTGCTGGAAAGACGATTTGGTTGTAGTTGGGGAAGTAAAAGGCGTTGATGGTATTTGCACTTGCGCTCCATCGGTCTTTGTCCGTTGGCCGTAGCAAATCATCCCAACTCCTGTCGGAGCTGAAGTAATTGATGTTCAGCGTGTTTTCAAAGTATTTGGTGCTGCTGACTGTGAGATTGGCGTAAAACTCTTGCACGGAGCGAGGGTCGAGAACGTTGGGCGATTTATCCGGATAGCCGATCTTCTTTCCAATCAAGGAAACTAGATCATCGTCAGCGCCTGTTGATCAACCAGCCGAGGCTATCAAAGCTGCTGACCCTTTTTCCTGGACCTCTCTTGCACCTCCTTCGCCATCCAGTCGTAGTTTGGAAACCTCTCTTCGTATATGATCCGAAGGTCGTCGATAATCTGCTCGCCCAAGCTCTTGGAATCTTGACCAAAGGCGCGAGCTTGGACATAAGCACCGCTCAGGATCCACGGCATACTATTGTCTATCTCTTCTTGACAGGTCCTCCAACGATCTTGAATGGCATCATCAGGTCTGCCCACAAGCTGGTTGTTGAATCGCCGCAAGGGTGCTCTGAGGTCGCGGTAAACTGAGTTGGCCCAGCCAGAAATGATACTCCATTGGAAATACGCGTAGAGAACTTCAGTCGGTCCGCTTCTGATGAGTTCTGGTAGCTGGCGAAAGTATTCGACCGGCTGGACTATGACGTTTTCAGCATCGTATCCGGGTGGAGTGAATGCATTGATCAACTGCGTCAGCGAAATATCTGGCACCAGTTTGTCCGCGTCTTCCAGCTTGTAGGGATTGTAAGTCAGGTCAACGTTTCGTTCCTGCTCCGGGTCCAGCTGCGCGAGTGCAATCCTGCGCTCCAAATCGAACACCTGTTTGGAAATTTCGCCATGCGTGCCGCTGTTGCCGAGGAAGATGTCAAACATTTCAGCGATCGTCCGTGTGTAATTTGCCTGCACGTCTGTCTTGTTATAATACTCTTTGGAAGGCAATCCCATGCCACCGTTGTTTAGGTATATTGCCACAATGTCAGGTGTTTTGCGGTCTGAGCTCGTACGAGCCTTTACGAGCGGGTAGACGCCGAGTCGATGGAGCGTGATAAGAATTTCGGTCAGCCCTCCAGTAGTCTCGTATTTCCCAGAATCTGGTTTTGGCAAGGCATCAAGTATTTCTTTCACAGGCTTGACTCCGATTTCTTTAAGCAGATCCTCATTCAGGCAGGCGTCGTATGCCGTCTTCATTTTGTTGAAATTGTCGCGGTCGATGGGTCGATCCTGGTCGCTCATCATTGTGGCTTCGTTGTAAGGGCTCTCCAGCACCTTTCGTAGCAAATCGCGATTCTTGTCATCCAACACGCTGAAAGAGTTGACAGCTATCGTAACTCAGTCAGTTTCTTCTCCAGAGAGAGAGTCACCTCAGACGATACTCACAAGACTGGTCTGGCCGATAGTCGTTGAAGCTTTTCCAGTTGCCCACGGCAAAATTCCAAAAGTCTGTGCAAGGATCGAGTTGGGTGTAGTTGACGCCAAGCGACCGTTTGATGTACGACGAGTACTCTTTGCACTCCTGTGTCTGGCAAATTTCGCCTTCAGACGGAAGAGGATTCTGGCGTGCAACAAGGCGTTGGTTACTATGATCACCTGGTCGTTGGTGAACGAATTTTTGACTACGGTCCTCGCCCAGGTAATCGCTTTTGCCATCTACCACGAGTACGCCGTCTTGTTCGGCATAATGTTCGATATTGCAAGAAGGAGTATTCGAAAGTTGATGCTTTCTCGACACCCCTGACGAGCCTCCAATTAGCTGACATCTTCTGAGTGCGCATCAGAAGAATCATACCCGTGCGCGGTGTTCCAAAATAGAAAACAATGAACATCAGCAAGGTGCCTAATCCAATCACAAACCGCAGAGACACAGTATCCCTCCGCGCAGTGCCTCTAGACCAAGCTCCGCTCTCCGCGAGAGCCAAGGCGAAGGCCATGGTGGTTTCCTTCTTGTGACAATGGACCGTAGGGTAAGACGACAGTTTCGCGCACCTCGGGAGAATCCGATGTCCTGCGCACGGAAACCATTCTGGCGACGGCGACCGACAAGCCTTCCAAATACTACTGTCACCGCCGAGCCCAGAACACACAAACTCAGCCACTTCCACATTTTGCTCTATGCTTCACTGGAATTTTTTAACCTTAACGCAAGGTTGGCGATGCAATTGGGTTGTCCACCACGCAGCCAACCGCGCTTGGCAAACTCTGTTCAGGGCCACACCCTCCCTTTGCAGAAGTATCAGTCTGACCGACGCAAAGGCATTAGGGTAAGGCCATGGAGTAAATCTGCGTCAAGAACTGTAAGTAGGCCAAACTCGGTAGATCAGTGCCTAATCGTCGTACTCTTCATACTTTATTTCGTTTTCTCCAACCTCGGTATTAGCCATGCGGCTGACTTGGTTCTTGGTCACTGCTGCCGCCGGTGAAGACTACATGTCGCAATCTCACCGCGACTGTTGCCGTGTGCCTGTTCGACCGATGCTGTGTCGAACGGATGTCGGCGGCTTGCTCGACGCGAACAATATGGGTAGATGAAGCCGGGACGTTTACGCGCTTTCCCACCAATCGAGCGTCTGGTTTGCCAAATGCCAGGCGGGGATGGGGTGTAATACGTCATCGAAATATTTTGTGCGTTGCTGAGCCGTCATGGACCCTTTTCAACGACTTGGCTCTGTTTACAAGAGCCACCGGGTCTTAACATCCGAGCAGCATTGCTTTTGTCCCACCCGTCCAGATGCCCAAAAGGCAACGCTCGAGCATGCGGTGTCCATCCTTGTTCAATCAACCCCGCGTTCAACGATCGCACGCCATTTTGCGCATTTTTGCTTTCACTATGGTTTTTTCAACAACGAGAAGGCCAGTCTGTTCCTCTACAAGGAACATGGACGCAGACTCACGTCATCTGAATTTGAGGAAATTGCTGGAAGCGCTTGGAGTGGCAGCAAACTGGTACAACCACATTGTGTGCCGGGCCCGACTTTTGAAAACTCCCAACCCCATCTTGTGAGGGATCTTGACCTCTCTTAGGAAGTGTTCACGTCTGAGATGAGACCATGCGGCTGCTGGACAAGACGGTTTGTAGCCGATGATGTGGGGAGATGAAACCATCTGCCGCGGTAACGTCAGAGCAAACGGCTCGTTGAAAGTTCGTCAACAAAAGCACTGGCATCTCTATCCATGTCAGTATGTTGCTCTAGCTTTGGCCCATACAGAATGAAATAGGGTTGATCACCAAGCATGGCGCATGCTCGCGTTTGCCGTCCGACGCACACCGACTTGTGCCGTTTGCGGGATTCTCTACCCACTAAGAAGTCATTTCCGCTGCACCCCTCGACGCGGTGAGCTGTTTGAAACGGTCGAGTAGCCGGGCGGAGTTATGCCAAGACGTGTGTTGTTCGCATTGGTTCCATTCGAGCAAGCATCATCCTTACGTTGTAGGGGCTTCACCGCGTCAATGAATGTTGAGTCATGACATGGGAACACTATATTCCAACGTCAATTCAACGACGGAGAATGGAAAATAATGGCCTTCAGATGACAGGAAAGAATATTCCGAGAGTCAGAAACTAGATAGAAGTTCAGAAATTTGAAGGTCAC